GTCTTTCAGCCCCATTTAGTTTTTCAGAGAGAATCATTTACCAGCTGCTGTCTGCTCTGCATGTCCAACAGACTTTGTCCCAGGCCACCGTATGTTCTCCAAGTCCATTCATTTCCCCAAAACTTCACTTACTATCCCTCAAATTGCCACATTCGCCCCAGCTCCTCTCCCCCTATGAAGAAGGGTATACCTCGTTTATACAACTGCACCTCACTGGATTACTGGGTAATCAATCTCATGCAATTCTCCTGTGCCTTTGAACATTAAAATAAATTTTGTAGGCCTTCTCCTACTAATCTGCCTTTTGTCAGTTGATTTCTCAGTGAAACTTCAGAGGGCAAAGGGGATGTTTTCTTTTGGCTGCTACACTCCTAAAGAGAAGGGATACGCCTACCCCTTTCCTTTTTCCTCTTCTTTCTAGCCACAGTGCAGACTGGGTGGCATGAGCCATGATGGGATGAAGAGGAGGTAACACCCAGGAGTCACCCATCAGCCTTAGCCTGCTTACATGCGGAAGTTACATGCAACAGAAATTATTTTCTCTCTTGCTTAAGGCACTATTTTTCCAGCTTCTGTTAAACAACCAAACACGTATGTTACCTAATAAAATAGCTGCCTTGGGGTATGGGAATATGCATAAGAAATTCATGTTTCCTTGTGAGAAATGTGACATGATTCAGGAGAAAGTTATTCCCACAGTGCAGGTATTCCCAAGTAACAGGAGGTGAACATTGTGATGTAGCTACTAAACAGATCTTTTATTGAGGCTTATCTCTTTTATCAGAGTTGGCAACCTATGGTCCATGGGCCAGATCCAACCAACAGCCTCTGCTTGTAAATAAAGTTTTAGAACACAGCCATGTGCATTCATTTACATATTTTCTGTGGCTGCTTTTCAAGTTACAATGGCATAGCTGAGTAGTTGTGACAGAGACTACATGGCCTACAAAGCCTAAAATAGTTACTACCTGGCCCTTTCCAGAAAGTTTGCTGGCTCCTGTCTTCAAAGACGGCAGCCTTTGCACCCATGGGAACTCTAACTAACTGATTTCAGATATCACTTTTTCTTTTTTCCATCTGGCAATTTGCTCACATCTATGTATTGATATACTCAATACCCTTCTTTCAGCATATCCAAACATGCTATTTTCTGCTAAAGAACTATTTAAGAATTTTTAATTTAGTAGGAATTTTAATTTCCTACTTCTCTCCTTGTAGTTACACTTGGGGACCATAAGGACATTTTGCACACAAAAAAGTGTTATCTCTGCAATTGAATTAGTACATTATAAAGGTGAGTGGGGAAAACAAGTGGGGTGAGACACAGTGTTCGGGCTGTTGACTCTCCTAACTCGCATTCTGGTCTCAAAGCCAGTGAAACCCAAGTTCACACCCTGATCTCCAGTGTCGCTGAGAACAGTGACTTTCTGTCACTGTTAAAGAAAATACCTAGAGCAAGACTGTGTCAAATCCAAGAATGTTATGGGTCTATTTTAGCAGAAATTTTAAGATACTCAGAGCCAATCTGAGTCTTGAAAGGTGAATTTGACTTGAAAAGAATTTTAAATGGAAAGAAAAAGTAAGACATTGATAAAGAATATGATGCATTCATCCTAGTAACAGTCATTAACCAAAGGGAAAAGCAAATGATTTTGTTTCTAAATGTAAATTTAAAGCCATGCCTATCAGAAAAGTGGGCTTTCAACTAACTGAAAAAATTGCACTGTTGGTTCTAAAACTGCTATACTCCTGAATTTATTCATTCAATATATTTTTAACAAGAAAAATTAAGAAGACTCAAGCCATTAAGAAGTGATAAAGACTATGGAAAGCTATTGATCAAAATTAAGACAAGACAGAGAAACTCAATTGATACATGTGCATAAATCTACACATGAAAGAGAAGTTGTGCCTTTCTTTTTAAAAATAATTTCTAAATTACATTCATTTTAAATATCCATCAACTATAATATGCCTGTCTTAATATCTGTGAGATTCCACAATCTAATAAAAAAAATTTATGTTAAGAAAAATCTAACATTGCTGGGAGTATGTTTTAAAACTATATACAGTTGTGTATATATTTAGAACATGTACTAATTTTATTATACTTATATTCTAGAGCTGTGCTATCTAGTATGGTAACCACTAATCACATGTGGTTTCAAGGGCTATTTAGCCCTTGAAATGCGGCCAGTCAGAATTGAGATCATAAAAAATGCTCTCGAGATCCTGAAGACTTAGTGTGATACGAAAGAATGTTAAATATTACATTTTGATTACATGTTGTGATGATAATGCTTTAGATACACTGGATTAAATAAAATATACTATTCAAATCAACATATCCTTTTTTAGCTTTTTAAACATAGTGGCTAGAAGATCTTAAATTATAAAAGAGGCCCATATTATATTTCTATTGGACAGTACTGGCCTAGAGCACTGGTCCTCAAGCCCTAGGTCATGGATCAGTATTGGTCTGCGGCTTATTAGGAACTGGGCTGCACAGCAGGAAGTGAGCGGTGAGCAAGCGAGTTAAGCTTCATCTGTGTTTACAGCTACTCCCCATCACTCACATCACCCGAGCTCCGCCTCCTGTCAGACCAGTGGTGGCATTAGATTCTCAGAGGAGCATGAACCCTATTGTGAACGGCTCATGTGAGGGATCTAGGTTGCATGCTCCTTATGAAAATCTAATGCCTGATGATCTGTCACTGTCTCCCATCACCCTCAGATGGAACCATCTAGTTGCAGGAAAACAGACTCAGGGGCTTTCACTGATTCTACATTATGGTGATTTGTATAATTATTTCATTGTATATTACAGTGTAATGATAGAAATAAAGTGCACAATGAATGTAATGCACTTGAATCATCCCCAATCCAAACCCCAACTCTAGACCGTGGAAAAATTGTCTTCCACGAAACCACTGGTCCAAAAAGTTGGGGACTGCTAGTTTAGAGTATCTAAGAGTACTTTCTTCCGCAGAGGTAATTATCAGCTTTGAACTTCTGAGAAACCTACCACCATGATACCAGTAATCAATAAATGTAAATTTTATGTTGGATATTTCAATGAAACTAAAAAAGCATTTTGTCTAATCTCAAAACATGGATTATAGTTTTAAGACTCTATTTAGAAATAAGAAAATAAAATGTTGAACTTACATTTTTCTCCTTACTTTTCTCATTTTAATTTTATTGATTTCAAAGAGAAGATTTTGTTTGGATGGAAAGCAAGATGTGGTCTCAGTTATAAGTAAGAGGAGGGAAAGAGACCAAAAATAGAACTGACAAGAGAATGTTGCCAGATAAGGAACAATAACTACACTTGCAATAAAATTCCACCAAAAATAACCTCTGTGAAGAACAAAAATGGAATACCTGAAATTATTTCTTTAAATGAAAACTTCTTCAGTGCTGCATTTTTACAGTCAGCCTAGGGTACTAACATGGTATAGGATTAGATGAGGGAACGGCTTCTACAGAAAAAACACTTATTACTTCCTAAGATTCTTCACTGATATGCTCTCTACAAATAAGACAATCTTACCCACTGAATTTTTTAAATTGGTACATCATAATTGTACATATTTGTGGGGTACAATTGAATGTTTTGATACATGTGTATGTTGTATAATAATCAAATAAGGGTACTTAGCATACCCATCATCCCACAGATTTGTATTTTATTTGTAGTAAGTTAGTCTATGAACTCCAAAACATCATATTACAAAGTGCTTTTCTTCTTGAAACAGTTCTAAAATCCTAACTTGCTTTTCTGGCCATTTAAATTTACTTTAATGAACTATCTATTCAACCAATCACCATTATTGTAAGTTCTTCCACAGAACAGAAGGGCATGTGCTGACTGACAGTACTCATCCACCTCCCGGTCTATTGTTTTGAATGATTTACTCACAAGAGAAATATTTCACCCTGCAGAAAGGTGGAATATCTGAATCCACCTTTCAGTCCTCCTAAGACCCACTTGAAAGTTATCTCCTACTGCTCTTTCAACATCACCTGTCAAGAATAAAAGTGTTGTGTCACTCAATCCATTGGTTTGGACCTTGAAACCAGTGAAAGATGCTTGTTTTAATGGGTCAGCATGGTGGCTCACACCTGTAATCCCAGCACGTTGGGAGGCCAAGGTAAGTGGATTGCTTGAGCCTGGAGGTTGAGACATGCCTGGGCAACACAGTGAGATCCCATCTATACAAAAAGTCTAAAAATCAGCCAGGCATCATGGCACACACCTGTAGTCCCAGCTACACAAGAGGCTGAAGCAGGAGGATCACTGGGGTCCAGGAGGTCGACGCTGCAGTGAGCTATCATGGTGCCACTGCACTCCAGCCTGGGCAACAGAGTAAGACCTCATCTCTTAAAAAAATAAACCAATCTTGTTTTCGCTTCCAAAATGTCAGGAGAAGAAAATTAACCTAAGTACTCAGTTATAGAAATGCCTGTGTGATCATTTCTGAAGACCAGTTGCTATTGAGGTCAACAGGAAGACATAAAGTCTGATTCTTCTGTTTCTAATTTACAGGTGAAGGAGTACTTCACTTGCCCCTGCACCTCAAAAACAAACCAACCCAAACAAAGAAAACCCCCAAAATGCTTTCCTTTTTCTTTTTAAATTAATGAAAGACCAAAGGCAAAAAGAAGCTGTGTTAAATGTTCAGAACATGGTATTTTTCTTTAAAAGGACTTGTGATCCTAGGAATAACAGCCCTACCTCCAACTTAACAAACCTGCAGCAAGATCTTGCAGCTATACCTCACCTAGAGTTGCAGAAAGGATATTCACAGGAACATTTAGTATTTGGACTGATGGAAATAAGAAGAGTTTGTGCAGGGGGAAAAGAAACTTGAAAAAGACTAGAGAGAGAGAGAAAGAGAGAAAGGACAGGGTAGCTTCTATTCTCAATCAGCCTCTGGGACTAGGTCTAATCTTCCCCAGAAAGGAATGAGATAGGCCATTTTGGTGAGGAAACTTACGAGACTGTATTCAAGCTTGAGAGTCTAACGGACAGGATGTGACTCCAGAGTCCAGAGGTATGGCCAGGTGCTGGATGTGATGAAGCAAACCAGGGCAGGCTGGCATGGCACTGGTGGTGGATCCTTCACCGGGGTAGCTGAGGAAGTGAGTGTCCATATGAAAGACACTGTGTTCACCTATGTCCTTGATGGTATCATGCTCTCGCTTTCATCATCTTCCTCACTGCTGCCATCACAGTCTTCACAACCTCAATGTCAATGTGTTGCCTTAAAAAAAAAAAAAAAAAAAAAAAAACTCCTAATGAAAACGTTTTTGGAGGATGTGGCCAGTGGAATCATGGCTTGCATCACAACGTCTGTGCAGCAATGGTGAGCTGTGGGTCAAGGATGGACGCCAGCAAGGAAGCACATGGCCACTCTCCCAATGCAGCAAAGTTCTCACAATGGGTGCCAGCTGCAGCCACTGTGGCCAGCTGCCTCCTTCCTGTGGATGGACAGCTGAGGTGGACAGATAGGAAAAGATCAGAGGACTTGATTGAGGGCACATGTGAGACAGAGCTTTAGGAGAGACTGAGGTCCGACCAACATGTTCATGTGGCCTCCTAGTTCAAACTCCGAGCCTGCAGGGGCCTCTGTGCTTTCAGATCACATGCAACTTTTCTACCAGAGAAGGAAGTATGAGTCAAGTCAGAATCCCCCATCCCAGGAGTGATATTATTACTATATATTTGGAACAATAAGCACAGAGAATCATATTTCAGACTGGAATTTTCCATTTGAACAGGTGTTTCAATATCTATTTCACACTACTCAATAGGTAGACTCAAGAACATGATAGTAAATATTTTTTGAAAATTGAATTATGTTTTACATTTCTCTAAGAAAGATCATGTGAAGGCCACAGCTCCATCTTAGATGCTAATTCACCATGTTAATTTCTGGTTATTCCCCATTCCAGGAAACTCTCTAAGATTTCTACTTTATCTACCGTTACTGTAAATCCTGCCCTTAGGCAAATACCTATAGCATTCTTGCCTTTCCCTACAATTGTCCTACACATTCCTTCCCTATGGTATATGAGTCCTGGGTCTGGGGGATGATAGTGTAGAGATCCACCATCTTTCCTGACAGCTATCCAAGACTAGGGCTTCTGTTGGTAAGTCCCTATTGTAATATTTACGTTTCTTTCTGATATACTGGATTTGTCAGCCTCTTTCTTCTGCCCCTCAGGTTCCTTGCCTTTTGAGGGTAGGTTTGCAAAGATCTGTTCACCACAGAACAGATCATATAGAAAGGAATCCATAATAACAGCCCTGGTTAAAATATCACCCACTAAATGCAATTGTTTTCTACAACTGGATTTTTACATCCTATTTTCTAGAAATGGAATTCTACTTTTTTTTTCCTTTTTTTTGAGACTTTGTCTCGCTGTGTCACCCAGGTTGGAGTGCAGTGGTGTGATCTCAGCTCACTGCAACCTCTGCCTCCTGGGTTCAGTAATTTTCTGGCCTCAGCCTTCTGAGCAGCTGGGACTACAGGCGCCCACCACCATGCCTGGCTTATTTTTGTGTTTTTAGTAGAGACGGGGTTTCACCATATTGGCCAGGCTGGTCTTGAACTCCCGACATTGTGATCTACCCACCTTGACCACCCAAAGTGCTGGGATTACAGGTGTGACCCACAGCAACTGGCCAATTCAACATATTTTTATTGAGCACTTAACATGTGCTGTGCTTTGAGTTAGTTGCTAGGGACTCAAAGATGAATAAAACACAGTTCTTGTCTTCATAGTGGCAAAGGATTGTCAGAGAAGATAGATATGAGGTCCTGAGGGAAGTATCAGCATCCAGGAAGAAGTGATTAACTCAGGACTGACGGGGAGAAGTGAAGACAACATTATGGCATTGAAGCTGAAGCTTAAAAAATATTTGAGATTATACCAAGGTGCAGTGCCACATGTCTGTGGTCCCAGCTGCTTGGAAGTCTGAGGAAGGAGAATCTCTTGAGACCAGGAGTTAGGGGATGCAGTGAGCTATGATCATGCCTGTGAATAGCCAGCACTTCAGCCTAGTCAACATAGTTAGACCCCATCGCCAAAAAATATATATACCAGGTAGTTAAGCAAGGGAGGGGTATTCCAAACATAAAAAAAAATATGTATCTGGGGGAAGCTAGATGAAGAGTACACTAGGATCTCTCTATATCATTTGTGCAATATCCTGTGAACCTATAATTATTTCAAAAGTAAATTAAGGAAAAAAGAACACATGCCAGTGTTCATACATATGAACATGCTTGATTTTTAGGAGAAATGACAATCCTGGATGAAGGACTGGGATAGGAGGTGTATTAGTCCATTCTCACACTGCTATAAAGAACTGCCCTAAACTGGGTAATTTATAAACAAAAGATGTTTAATTGACTCACAGTTCCACATGGCTTGGGAGGCCTCAGGAAACTTACAATCATAGCAGAAGCGGAAGCAGGTCTGTTCTTTACAAGGTGGCTAGAGAGAGAGAGGAGCATGTGGAGGAGGAGTTGTCAAACACCTATAAAACCATCAGATCTCATGAGAACTCATTATCATGAGAACAGCACGGGGAAACTGCCCGCATGATTCAGTCACCACTCACCATGTCTCTCCCTCAACACATGGGGATTATGGGGATTACAATTCAAAATGAGATTTGGGTGGGTACACAAAGCCTAACCATATCAGGAAAATACTGGACAGGGAATCAGGAATCAGATTGTATTGGAGAAAAATAGCTGGCAGCAAGTGGAAGAGTCTTTGAACACATAAACTAATTAATATATTATCTTAATAGCTCCAAAAAGAAATTATGAAAACCTGGGACTACATCTGTGGCAGCGGTAAAGGAGAGAAGATAAAAGGCTGAAGAAAAGAGCAACAGGCGTTAGTGATTCCGATAAAGAGGAAACAAGCAAAGGTAACTTTATGATTGGGGGAAAATTCACACTATTCATCATTATAGAGAATAACCAAAAAGTCTTTTAGCGTGAAAGACAGTAAATTCAGTTTGGAACTATTGAAATTAAGGCCAACATCATGTAGAACATGGATTGGAATTCAAGAATAAGGTCTTATAAATGTACATTTTCTGTACTGTTTAAGAATATTCAATTCTGCTATAGAAGACAAGAAAAGAAACAGGATGGACTGAATTTGTAATAATTGTTAGGCATATTTAACAAAAGTTATAAGAAATATGTGAAACTCAGAGAACGTGTTAAGTATAGATAATGGGTAAGCAAGTAACTTGTGAGACATTGGTAAAATTAATGTGGCAAGTTATATATAGACATAGTAACGTGTAAGGCCTGCCAATCATTGATCAATAGAATAAACCAAAATTATAATGGTGCATAAAGGAGTTTTGTTTAAGATCAGATAGAAATAGATGGAAAAACAAAATCATGGTACCTCTAGGATGACAGCTATGTCACCCTCAAATTCAGCCACCTATTGATGATACCCACTACAGTCTCATTCTGCCCTATATGTACTTGTGTAGAACAAGCATGTATCATTGGATCAGGACTCCTTTTGTCTGTGAACCTGTAACTCAAACCTCACCTCTGGTTCTCATAATCACATTATTGACAAGGAAGGCTGACATTCATTTTTTATCCATTTTCTCAGCATTGGCAAGTAAGAGAAAGAAAGAAGACATACGAACATTATGATACCCAGGACTCAAGTATTGTGTTCCTTTGTCCACTTAGACTCTAATCTAAGAATGTTAACTTACCCCATCTCCTTACCCTTGACTCTCTTTGTGTATTTCAAATTGATTCAGTAAACTATATGACACAAGTATCTTAATTGGCCCCTAAACCTTTCTGCTCTTTGATCTCTGAGATAACGTGCTTCATAGTACACTTAGAAGCTACCATTGCCTCAAGGTAATTCCCTGCATGATTGGTCTGGTCTGGAGGACTATAATCATTCAGGTATTTGAGGATCAGATAGCCTAACTAGACCCCAATTACTTTTTAACACAGTAAATTTAATGTATATAAGTTTCCAACAAATGTAAAACCCCATAAGACAAAATCAAGCCTCTACCTTCAAAATACTAGAAGTTACCTCTTTGTATATGCTTCTGAAAATTTATGATATAAATTTTGCTTTTGAGGGCAAAAACCATACCCTATTTATCTTTGTATCTCCATACCTAGCTGAACACCTGTAATAGTGCACTCATTGTATTTTTGTTGAATTAAAAAATAAGCTTCAGTGCATTTTCGAAATGCATATATTTACATAATAATATTTATATGCTGACTCTGACAAAGCTCATTATTAGATTGAATAACCAAATTTATTTAAAATTGTACGGATTAAACCATTCATCCAGACAGAGATTGTTTGGAAAAAAACTGAATTCCTCCTGGACAGGATGACAGAATGAAAGTGACTTAAATGACACGTTGGTTCAAGACCCCAGGATCAATGAACCTCAATTTGGTTTTCAGCAGATTATGACAACGATCCCAAATTCTCTATTCATCGTCAAAGTAAGTTAGCAAGCAGATGTGATGCTATGTAAATGTGGAAAAGTAAATCCATGTCACACATGCTGTGTTTGTTCAGGAATAGTGGAGCAGATAAGTGACATGAGTGTCTAGGTAAAGTCAAGCCCCAGCACATGAGAAAAACAGAGAGAAAACGAAATGAGAGTCTTTTTGTTTCTTCATCTGGGAAGATGTTGAAGTCTGAGACATGTTAGATACATTATGGTTTGTTCAGACAACAAAATATTTTCAGTTGTTTAAAAGATGAAAAACAACTTATGAACTGATTTAGAACAATCTATCAGATACATTGCCAAGCAAAAAAATAATAAGGTGAGAAGCAGACTGTATGTCCCGCTAATATTTTCTGCATAAGGTTTTCTGGAAGAATACACAGTATGCTGATTACACTCATTCGAGTGGTTGACTTTAGGAAGGAAAACTGGGTTGGATAAGATATGGTAGAAAGCAAACTAGTTTCTTGATTTTGCATATGTTTTAAATTTTTTATAATTTTTCAAGCATTATGGTGTCAAAAAGGCAAAATGGAGTAAAATAAGTAAAAGAATTTTTAAAATTTAAAGTCACTTTTTTTCTAAAATGTTCTTTCATCAGGGTATGTAAAACTCAGTGCAGTAAACAAACGTATTTCCACACGTTTATGTCTATAGCACATTGCGCATTGGAGGATTTTTAATTTACTATCTATTGAGCCTCCCAAAACAGGATAAGAGATTACCATTTCTGATTATATTGCGCATAAGGTTATATATTTAGAGTGCTTTTCTCTTGATTTAATAAATATGCCACATAGTCCATTAACTCACTAAGCCCTATTCAACTCCAAAGGTTCCAATATACCTGATTTCACAAATGAAAAAATTTAAAAAAATAAAAACCTTGACTCACAAAAACAATATAGAGAAAAAAATGAAAGACATGCACCTTGGTTTTCTCATCTATAAAATGGGAATGATAAAAGTATTTAGCCTGACAATAATGTACATGTAAAATTCATAATAAATGGTAGTTGTAACTAATGTAACTTAAAGGTCAAATGAAGAGATGCTTGTTCTGTGTAAGTATTTATGTCCAGAAAACATAAGCTTATTGTCTTATTTAAATAAAACAGTAAATGCCTAATGATGCTTGGTGATGGCTATTATCTTCCTATCACAGCTTGGCAAGGATCTCTCCCAAATATCTATGATTACCCATTTGAGTTGGTAATGGCCCATCTCCCAGCATATTCACAATTAGCTGCTTCAATGGCATTGGTAAACAAAATAACCAAATTGTTGTTCAAATTCCTTACACATTGTAAAGTTCGTGGAAAATGTCTTTTTAAATGTAGATTTCTTATTTAAAAAAAAGAAAAAGAGGTATGCCATATATTGACCTCTGAGTGATGAAGAAGTTGAATTAAGATCATGAAGATGCTAAGAATGCACATTTGGAAGAGAGATAATTAGGTTTATCTTCCTGAAGACAGATATAAAGACAAGTTTAAAAACAATTCATTCTGATTTGTTAAATTGACCAGGTAACCATCCTGTAGTCTATTTTTATTGCCTTTGTAAACACAGATAGGGCATCATTTATCTGGAGCTTTAGCGAAGAATCATGTTGGTGTCTTAAACCTTCTAAAGAGGTTTATATTTAAAGGACTAGTCCTTGAGAATAAAGATAAACCAGGCTAAATCACCTTTGGGTATACATGCCGCCCACCAGCAATTACCTGATTGATTTTTTAGTTATGCCTGCAACACAAACTAATTTCTTTGAAAATGAACAGCCATGGTGTTCCATAAACATTCTGATCTATTATCCTACCAGGGAGGAAAAAACAGGCAGACCTAAGAAAGTAGTGGAGATACACAATTATTAGACAAAAAAGATAATGTGTAGCCTTGAGCACAGGAGGATCAGTCATGGAAGAACAATGACCCTGCAAGTTCAAACCTGGTCCAATCCTACCTCTTCCAGTCCCTCAGTGATGTCTACCCTCAACCAGTTAAACATCTCATCACCACTATGAAGGGAGAAGTGCATCAAGAGCCACTCGCTACCTGTCAGTGACCACTCAGAAGTTTGGGGCAACAGGGAGAGAAAGAGAAACAAAGGCAGAATGCCTGTACACGTCTCTGTGAGTCTGTGTATACAAAAGGAGAACCGAAAGGGGAAAGAGAGGGAGGAAGGATCAGAGAAACCTTGAGGAGCCTGGAAGATGGACCATTTTTGGAGGAGACTTGTGTTCTATGACTCAGACAGGGGAGGAATCAGGATGATTTTCAAAGGTATTATTTCTGAGACTTAGCTTATGTTCAGTCTACTGAATTCCATGGTTGGAGCAAACAAACAATGAAATCGGCTCAGGATAACAATGAAATGGTAACACAAATGCATGGTTTTGTTTGTTTGTTTGTTTTAAAAAAGAAAATTCATCAATCTCATCAAGGCGCCTGGAGCCTGAAAAAGAAGAAGAGAACATATATGTTTGAAACGAGGAAAATCATGCACAACCATTCCTAGGACACCATTTACTAAGTGTCAGGAACTAGACGCATTCCTGAGCTCCTAATATTGAGTGGGTACAATCTCATGACATGAGGATGGAGAAGCGATTCTGATTTCCAGTGCATAATGGGGTGTCAGGAGTCCTTAGAAAGCAGATTCGTGCTTCTAAAAAAAATCGAATTTTGGTTTATATCTGCTAAGAACTTACCTAGCTCCCAACCACTGAAATGAAAAGGTGTATTTTGAAGTTATTTCTGAGAGTGGAAAAAGAAATGCTCCACTTTTGAGCCTTAAAATCATTTTAGGGCAGTAAAGGCCATCTACTTTAACAAAAGCAACCGTGTCCAACTATATCATTTATATTGAGTGGTGAAAATCATTGTAGGATCCACTATAGCATATCAGAATTACAAAGACTAAAACAAAACAAAATGTTTGCTCTTTTTACCTCAACTCAGAAATTGCTGAAATTCATAACCATATTAGGAGAAAATAAACAGAATGGGCAAACTTTTCTCACAGGCAAAAGAGCCTTAAATTTACTCTGATTTTTCATTTCATTTAACATGTATTGCTATACTAAGGAAGCCCCTTCTGCATAAATAATAATCAGAAAAAGAGAAGGTCTTTGAAATGGGAGAGGACAGTCTAATGTTTTCACTGGTATATGCAACCACAAGTCCAGTTGTAAATATTTTCAGTGCTGTCTAGCCTGGAAAGGGGAGAATTATGTACTGGAATATGCAAGAGAAGGCTGGAAGTCCTTATGCAGATGTAAGTTGATTAAAATTAGCACTTCATGAAATTGCTGCTTTTTTTTTAGATGAAAGTGATTCTAAGTGGGACACAGCTATAAAAGTAAAAAGTCCTCATTTTTCAATCTGTGCTAAAGGTTCTTTCCATGAGTGACCTTATTTGGTGCTTTAACATGAGATTATAATATGCAAGAACTTTTAAAGTCATTTTTCCTTTTTCTTGTTTCGGGTGTTATGAAAAACCACCACGATTATCTGGAGGCAGAGTAAGTAGCATGGTAGAAGGAGGATTCAGACCTCAAGCCTAGGACGAATAAATGCCACATAACTTTGGACAAACTACTTAACTTTGTAGCTATGGATTCTCCTTTACGTTTCCCTCATAAAGTGGCTGAGAGGAGTAGGTAAGAGCACTCCTGCTGAGCACCTTCCTCAGTGTCTGGCACCATCCACATGGCTGTCAGTAGCTGTTACTATTATTATCAGTGTCCGTAAGTGGTGTCAGATTCAGTGCCAATGCTGCTACTCTTGGGGAGGAAAAGAAATTCCACCTTCTACTCATCTTAGGTTCTCCAACTGGTACCCTGCAAATTAGATTGACAATGAAATAGCAAGAGAAAAACAAACAGAGTTTAACATAAGCATCTTGCATATACATGGGAATACTCAGTGATGAGTAATTCAATAAAGGTGGTTAAGACTTGGGTGTATATAGTATCACAACAAATAAACAATAAATTTTAGCGAGATAAAGGAAAAAGACTGAATTTCTAGTGCAGGCTGGGCCTGATGGCTCATGCCTGTATCCTAGCACTTTCGGAGACTGAGGCTGGAGAATTGCTTGATCCCAGGAGTTCAAGATCAGCATAGGCAACGTAGAGAGACTCCATCTCTATTAAAAAAAAAAAAACACTAGGGCAACAAACTATAGGAAGGTAAATATATGAGGGAAGCTAACGGAAGATAAGGGCTAGTTAGTAAGGTTTGTTATGTAGATTCCCTGTGAAGCCAAACATCTGAAAGCTGACAAGCATCTAGAGTTGTCTCTGGTGATTAACTTCCTCCTTGGTAGAGAGGAGAAGGGAGACACCTGTACAAATTTACATCTTGCTTTTAGGAAAACTGGGGGAAGGCAGGGAGCTTTTCTTGTATCTGTTTCTTCTCAATTGCTTTCAGCTCAAAATAATCCTATGCCAAAGTGATATATTTGAGGGTGGCACATTCCTCCGTCCTTCATTATTCAATTCTGCAAACTTTGGTTGCACAACTGTGATATGCCAAGTGCTACACAGGTGCCTACGAGGAGTTTATAATCTTGTAAGTACACAAATAACTTGAGTCCATTTGATTTGGAAAAAAAAAAAAAAAAGAGGGAGGAGAAAAGAGGTTAATGTCAATTGAAATTGAAAATCCTCTTGGATTGCTGACTCAGATCCACTACTACCATGACACTGCAGAGGCTGCAACCTGGTGCTTCTGAAAATTATACTGAAAGATACAAAGAGCCCGTTTTTGTTGTTGTCGTTGTTGATTCAGAGTCTTGCTCTGTTGCCCAGGCTGGAGTGCAGTGGTGCCATCTCAGCTCACGGCAACTTCTGCCTCCCACGTTCAAGTAACTCTCTTGCCTCAGACTCCCTAGTAGCTGGGATTACAGGTGTGTGCCACCACACCCAACTAATGTTTGTATTTTAGTAGAGACGGGATTTTATCGTGTTGGCCAGACCGGTCTTGAACTCCCAACCTCAGGCGATCCACCCACCTCGGCCTCCCAAATTGCTGGGAGTACAGGCGTGAGACACCACACCCAGCTATTTTAAGACTACTTTGTTCCATTAGTATTTCTAAGATAATATGCTCTTCTGAGGGATCTTTCTCGAGTTATCAAACTAATTGGTTCACTACCCTACCAGTGTTGCCAATTACACCCAAATATCTCCCATCATGTACTTGGGTTGCTTCTATTCAAGCCCTCAGTGCTGCTGACTCACCAACATCAAAAGAAGTACATGCTGCCTATCACTGACATTTCTTACCGACATACAAATTGGACCGAAGCACTGGCAATTAATATTTCCACTCTTGTCTACCTGACATATATATCATTAGTGGTACTTCAGCTGTAGAAATGAAATTAAACTATGGAAAAAATAGGGATTTTTAAGACCCAAATCAATGACAGGTGCACTTTACTTCCAGATATGCTTATAAAGAAGAGGGAAAGACTAAGGCATTGTGTACTTTTGAGTACATACTTTTAATTACTGTTTTTGTTTTGTTTTGTTTTTCTGAAACAGGTTGAGGCAGGAGTGACAGAGCATTCATGTCATTGCATCACTTTAAGGTCCACAAAAGAATCTGACTGACTCATATGTGGAATCTAAAAAAGCAGAACTCAAAAAAGTAGAGGATAGAACAGTGGTTATTAGAGGCTGGTTGGGGCACAGGAAAGAAGAGGAAAAGGAGAGACCTTTGTGATCATTCCACAATGTATCGATAGGTTGAAACACTACATCATAATCCACAAATACAGAACCCATAAATTATCTTTTATCAATTAAAAATACAAGTTTAAAAAATTTTTAAACTCCACTAAAAAAATAAAGCTCTTAAGAGAATCTGATGATTATTTTGTCATTTAAGTATTTTTGGCACTCAAAATTAATATAATCTGTAAGTAAAAAAATCACAAGTAATTAGTGTGAGCCCCAAGTCTCCTACAAGCTACAGTCAAACCCAAACCTTACCAAACTTTTTTAGAACCATGGACAACAACAGTTGTCAGGCTTCTGAGCCCAAGCCAAGCCATCGCATCCCCTGTGACTTGCACGTATAGGCCCAGATGACCTGAAGTAACTGAAGAATTACAAAAGAAGTGCAAATGCCCTGCCTCGCCTTAACCGATGACATTCCACCACGAAAGAAATGAAAACGGCCAGTCCTTGCCTTAAGCGATGATATTATCTTGTGAAATTCCTTTTCCTGGCTCATCCTGGCTCAAAAATCTCCCCCACTGAGCACCTTGTGACCCCCACTCCTGCCCGCCAGAGAACAATCTCCTTTGACTGTAATTTTCCTTTACCTACCCAAATCCTATAAAACGGCCCCACCCTTATCTCCCTTCGCTGACTCTCTTTTCGGACTCAGCCCGCCTGCACCCAGGTGAAATAAACAGCCATGTTGCTCACACAAAGCCTGTTTGGTGGTCTCTTCACATGGACGTGCATGACAACAGTAACAAGTCCAAAGTTCTGCCTCAAGTGCCATCCAGGCCCACCCCTGGCTGTGAGGGGTTTCTCTCTCCTAAGTTTCCAAAACTCAGGAGAAATCCGGAGGACAGCATCGACTCCTTCTTCCTGTGTGACACTTTGGCACTCTCCTGTTACTCACAAAGCCAGTCCCCCAACAGATGAGATCTTTCCCCGTTTGGTGTCACAAAGCCAATACATAAAACCGAAAGTGAGTGTTAAGCAGTGCAGGCTTTATTTGCTGGCCATGGACTCGAGACGCAGGAGCAAGGCTCACAAGTCAACTTCTTGACTAAGGAGTGGGTTAAAATATAGGGTTTCTCTAATGAAGGGGTTGGACCTTAAAAGTGAAGGGAAGAGTATTCATGTCTTTCCAGAAATGGGTGGTGAACTTTCCGGAACCAGAGCGCCACCTTCCTGTCTGTCCTTTCATGGCTTCTTCCGGTTGTTGTCACGGCAATTATCAACAGTCATGGTGCTCATCTAGCATGGCAATGAGATTGTAATGAAGCCTGAAGTCTTGCTGAAGTTGTTGGGTCAGCTATCTTGGTTCTAACCAGTCTCAACTGGCCTGGTTACAAAGGGAAATTTTTATCACAGGTGTCCTGTTTCTTAAGCAGAGTTAGGGCCGGTAGAAATTCATCAATGTCTCATCTCCTTCAGATGAGACTCAAATGTCACTTCCATGAATGCTTTCTGGGTCACCTTTCCTAAAAGGGCACATCTGCCACAGCCCTTATCTCCCACTGACATAGAATACATCTGCCTTATCACCTACCTCCCCCACTAGAATATTAGGGCCATCAGAGACTTTTGTATGTTTTGTTCATGGCTATACAGCCAGGGCCATACTAGTGCAGTGCCTGGTACATAATAAATGTCAAATATTTGTGTTGAATGCAGGAAAGATACCTTTCCCTCCTGAATGTGGAAATCTACAAGTCCATGAAGTTCCCTGGAGCCTACTACAAGAGCAACTTATATTAACAAAATTAACAAAAACTTGAAAATAAGGTACAATAGTCCCCACTTACCTAAGTTTCACTTTCTACAGTTTCAATTATCTGGGATCAACCACAGTCTGAAAATATTAAATGGAAGATTTCAGAAATAAACAATGTATATGTTTTAAATTGCATGCCATCCTAAGAAGTATAATTAAGTCTTGCACTCTCCTACTGCATCCCACTCAGGATGGGAATTGTCCCTTTGTCCAGCAGATCCACACTATATTTCCCGCCCATTAGTCACTTTGTCACTTGGTGATCAGATCATGTCATTGTACCACAGTGTTTGTGGTCAAGTAACATTTATTTTACTTCATAATGGCCCCAAAGCACAAGTGTAGTGATGCTGGCATATAATAATTATTCTATTTTATTATTAGTTATTGTTATTAATCTCCTGCCTCCTATGCCTAATTCATAGATTAAGCTTTATCATAGGTATGTAGCATAGGAAAAATAAATAGCCTATGTAAGGTTTAGTACTACCTACAGTTTCAGACATCGACTGGGGGCCTTGCAACATATTCCACTGTGGATAAGAAGGATTACTATAAAAGGATGGCTGCCCGTCTTAATTCAATGGCATATTGAATCATTGGCCTGATATGCCCATGCAGGAATTATTTAGTTCTTCAAGAGAATGAATCCTTGAATCATTTTTTGTCATACTATGTACTACTGATTAGGGCCTAGACTCTGTGAAGTTACATAGTAACTTGGAGATTTTTGTCCGATAGAGATGAAATGAATTATGTGCAGAATTTAAAAAAACCAAAGGTTATATTTTTATTGTGCTATCAGACATAAATCAGTTTCTATCTAACCTAGTAACCTTATTCCAACGTTCTGTCTTCATTGCCTTTAAATACTCAGTACCTCAAAAGCATTTTGAGCTGGCTTTATCACCCTGCTGGTTCCTTCACCATGACTTAAATAAATCTTTCATGTGTGCTCATTTTATATTTGTATGACAATCAAGTTAATATTTTGACAGCTTAGAGGTGTTCCCCATCAATATGTCCAAATGGATGATACAGATTGCGTCAGAGGTAGATCTGGTTTGTTCATCTTTTGTTTATTTGTCAGACTATTGGTTAGCTCGAATCAACGTGAAGATGTTCCCACTGGAAAGGGGAACCGCTCTTTGAGATCTGAGACTGTCAGTTGTGATTCTAAGTTCACCTTTAACCTCTGGCTGATGCTGTAGAACTGAAACAGCGACCTCTCAGTCCAGATAACTTGTAACCCTTTTTCTCTTGTTATGCGAGCTTGAAATATTGAACTACACCTGGAATGTATTAATAAAATAGACTATAAAGTCTCACAAAGAAGCTCTGTTCTGATTGTTTTATAGAGAATAATATAATAAATCTTTCCATAAATCTAATATTCCCAGAATGCCTAGAAAAAAACTAAAGTTCTAATACCTCAAATACGCTTTGCCCACAACCCCAACAAACGAACAAATGAAAATCAGAAACTGCTGTTTCACAAACATTATTATAAGAGAATCCAGGTTTATGTAATCAGAGTGACTTTTTAGACATATTAAACTTGTTTAATCACTTTGGTTTAAAAACAGCTATTTGTCTTCTGTCTGACTTTATCTATGTAGAATATAATACAACAAAACTTATCACAATAAATCTTTGTTTTCTCTTGAATACACTGTTTAATCTGAATTCCTCAAAACTCTTAAGCTATTTTACTAATCAGGCAAACCAACATACTTTCACAAAGTTTTGAATTATGAAAAATACAAAATTATGTATTCAATTAAGCATGGTTATATTCTGATCATTTTTTACATCAACAGTGATTATGGTCTATAGTGCATCAGTTTTCACATAATTTTCAAGATCCTTAGTTAACATGAGGAACATAGATTATTATTAACTTGAGTTAATGAATAATCTTTGGATATCTGGATAATTTCTACCAGGAGAATACTAAAACATTGGTCAGCAAACATAATTTTTCACATATCTATGAATACGCATGTCTATAGGTAAGTGTATATGTATATACACAAACATATATGTATTCTGACTGTTCCAACAATTGACCTTTCCCTCATATCTCTCTCTGTCTCTCTCTCTCTCCCCACTCTCCCTGGGCCTCCCTATTCCCTGAGACACAACAATATTGAAATTGGGCCAATTAAGAGCCCTACAATGGCCTCTAAGTATTCAAGTTAAAGGAAGATTTGCACGTCTCTCACTTTAAGTCAAATGCTGGAAGCGATTAAGCTTGGTAACAAAGACATGTCAAAAGCTGAGACAGGCTAAAAGCTAGGCTTCTTACACCAATTAGCCAAGTTATGAAGACATAGAAAAAGTTCTTAAAGGAAATTAAAAGTGCTACTCCAGCAAACAAGCAAATGATGAAAAAGCAAAACAGCCATATTGCTGTTAGGGAGAAAAGTTTAAGGAGTCTGGATAGATCAAACCAACCACAACATTCCCTTAAGTCAAAGTCTAATTCAGAGCAAGGTCCTAACTCTCTATAATTTTGTGAAGGCTGAGAGGGGTGAGGAAGCTGCAGAAGAAGTTTAGAAACTAGCAGAGACAGG